AGTTTCCATTTTCATTGTCTGTACCATTCTTTCTACAACCCCATTAGATTGTAGGTGATATAGTGGTCTTTTGTAAGTGAAGCAACCAATCTGCCACAAACAGTTGCATAGATCTTCATTGCAAAACCCTGTTGCATTGTCTGATACCAATGTTTTAAGAACCCCCCACACACCATTTCTAGGAAAAAGATTACTCTTATTATTTGTTTTATTGTAAAGGTTTTTATCCATTTTTAAAATTAAAGTCTTTTCAGGCCATCCCAAAAGGGAGTCTACTAAAATTAGAAATAGTCCCATTCCATTAATATATGCATGGTTCTGTTTCTTTGAAAAAACATGAGTGTAGTCTCATTTGTTGAAAATTCTTTATTTCTGCATGCTTTAAACATTTCTCTACATATCTTTCTATGTATCTTGCGATAATACTCTGGCCACAATGCCTCCAATTTTCCTCTAAATAGTCCAGAGATCCCACAATGCACATCATCATGTTTACTTTTTTTTAAAATATCTCTTCTTACTGTTTCTGGTGATACAATCATATCTCTATTGCATATAATGCAATTTTTATTGTTAATTTATACCTTATTTCTTTATAATATTTTACAGGTTTTAAACAATTACTCCACCTGTTTCTTCTTATTCTTTCAGCAATCATCCTTAATATTGGATCTTGTAGAGTTTTTAGAACCAATCTTTGTAGAGATATGTCAGTTTTTTAAACCCAATTTAATATTTCTTCATACAGGATTTCCATTTTCTCTTTTTGATCCTTATTAAATTGAAACCTTGACAGTGCATGAACATGTGGTATTGTATTTCTTTTTACATACTTAATTTCAAAATCATAAGCCATCAATTTTATTACCCACCTTAGAATTCTGGAAGAAGTAACATTTGTTAGCTCCTTTCTAGGTTAAAAATAAACTTTAGAGGTTTGGTCTGACTTTAACAGGATCTTCTTTCCTAATAAGAACTGTCACACTCTGCCTATGCTCCACACAATGGCAAATCCTTCTTTTTTCGATATTTGAATAATTTTGTCTGTTGACATAAATCTTCCTGAAAGGTACATTATTAGATTGCCTTCTTGCGATAAAATTGCTGACACAGCTCACTCACTCGCATCTATGGTTAACATAACCTCTTTTCTTGGATCAAAGATTGTTACAATGGGATTTTCTGTGAGTATCTCTTTTAAATCTTTGAACACTAAGCTTTCCTTTGAGTCCATTTGAACTCATTATTCTTTTCATGCAGTTCAACAAATGGTTCTACTAAGTGACTACATTTTGGTAGTATCTATTACAAAAATTAACAAATCCTAAAACGAAATCTAATTATTTTTTATTATTAGGTACAGATACCTCTGAAAATTTCTTAATTAACTTTGGATTTGGTGCAATGCCACCTTTTGAAATTTGGTACCCGAAATATGATATGGCATTTTCACTCCAAAAGAATGTACATCTTAATAATCCTATGGGAGTGTTTAATTTGGTAATTTCCTTGAATTTATTGTCAATCTCTAATTAATCATTTCTTACAAAACATTTCATGCCCAATAATTTTTGGATAGTGGTTTTAATCTTTGGAATAGGAAAAGTCTGAGCATATTTTATCATTTATGCCTATTTCAAAATCACTGTGTACTTTTAAATCCTTACCTGTTTTTTGCAAGACTACTATAGGAGAGACCCATTTACTGCCACCTTTTAACACTTCCATTTTTACTTTTTCTGATTTTATGTTACTAATTAATTTCAATATATCCACCTTTAGAACATACCTAGTAATCCATGAATTTATTTTACATTCCACTGCTATAATAGGAATAATTTCAAATTGCTCACGGGTTTCAAGCATTCCATTGAAATATCCCACAGTTTTTATAAAAGATCCATTAAATTGTCTCAGTTTCAGATGACGTTTTCTCAATGTCAGTTTGCCCATATGCTCCCAGAAATTTCTTTGGATCAGAGTGACTTCACTCCCTGTATCCACTTGCATTCGAACACCATGACATTTAATTTAATTTTTTTCAAAAGAACTCTTGAAAAAAGGCCATCAATTCTTTCTTTTTTCACTTTTTCTATACTGTCTATTTTCTTTTTAACTTTGCATACAGACTAAAAGATATTCTTTCTTCAGCAGTCATGGCAAATTTTTCCAAAAGCTGGGCATTTTTTTCATGTCAAATTTCATGCTTATTTTTACAGTATTTGCATTTCTTTATTTCTTTATTTATAATGTACATTTCAACATTGTCCTCAGTAGAATTTCTTTTACCATTTCCAGCTGTTATATAACTTTCACACATGTAGTTAGAGACAAATTATTCAATTGTAATTCTTCCAATATCTTATCATCAAAATGTATCAGCCAAACCTTCAATCAACTGTAATTGAATCAACTCATCCTTAATAGTCAAATCTTGAGTTCCAAGTTTCTCAAATTTGAAGAATCTTATAGCTTCTCTTAATTTGTGAACATATTGCATAGTTGATTAATTTTGTTTGTGTTTAATGGACAGAAATTTGGTTCTTTTCGTTAGGACAATTTTCTATTTACGTTGTAAACTTATTTTTATAATTTCTGAAATTTTGATGTAAGTCAAACTCTCCAATTCTTTGGGGTATGCCATTACGGAAATTTTCATTATAGCCTCACAACCTGCTGAATCTAGAAACAGGTCAGTTATTTCATTTTCTTCCCATCTTGCCTGGTTATTTTTCAATTTTTTTTATCCCTAGCCTGGGCTGCAAGACACTTGATCCAAGTCTTGACAAATTCTGGTTTATTCAAGTGAGACTTAAACATATTGACACCATATTTATTGTATTTTGTTTTTATATGACACATGATCAGTAGTCAACTTCTTTCCTGTCTCTTAGTTTACTATACACTTTATATCACTTTTAGTTAACATACTATTTGCCAATCCACTACACTTAGAATGTTAATTATCAAACCAGTAATTGAATTAAATAATTGCGCAAGCATTTTAATTAATTTTGATTTTTAAATTTATTTAAATTTTCTAAAACTAACAATTTTTGAAAATTCATAAAATGTTGGGAACAGTTAAAATAATATTTAAGCACCACTAAGAGTAACCTTAGTATAAGTTGTTTATAAAAGCAATTAAAAGCTTTTCTAATTAAATAATGTCTTAGTTTTACAGTTCATTTCGGTAAATGGTCTTTCTGTTCTATGAAAAAAAGATTTAAATTCTCTAAGAAGTCCTGCTTTTAGCTAATATAAATATGAAGGGGGTGTAATTTTAATTGCTTGAAATTTCATAAAATTATTTTGGGATTACATGTAAAAAGAAAATATTTTTACCAAAATTTTCTTTAAAAAAATTCTGAAATAATTTCATTCACTTGTGAATAAATTCTAAAAGTTTCGTAAAAACCCAACAATTATTTGATTTTTGCAAGAATTTCCAAATCAATGTGTTACCACAAAAAGAAATAAAAGTAATCTTTGACAACATGACACCCCCCCCCACTTTCCTTCACTGATGCAGGAAAAGCAAAATTTGCTAGAAATGAGTAAAAATTTTAATTAAATAATCAAAATATCCTTTGGTCTTTCCTCTTAATAATGACTTTGTTTTTATCAAGTTTTGTTTTTTTCATCATGGTGGCATTTATCAATTCACCCACAGTTTGTGACAAGGCCTTTTAATGTGGGTATGTTTTTTTAAAACCCATCTAAACCACCAAGCGGGGTATTCAACCTCCCCGAACTCCGGTTTTTGCAAGCAGAGAGTTCGACAGAAGTGAATATTTGGAGGTACCTATCTTATTTTATTTAAAAGAAAGAAATAACTATTGTTGTTGAAAAAATCATGCTAAGAGAGATAACTCCACTTGAAGAATTGATCCAGTAACTGGTAAAGGATAATGAAATTTAAAAAAAAAACAAAACTGTTCATTGAATCAAAATATTTCGAATCGTGAATAAACCAGAACAAAAACAAAATAAAAAATAAGAAATATATTCTTTGGTGGGCATATTACAGCAAAGAGAGAAGAAAGAAATAAAATTCAAGGAAACCTGTCATAGTCTAAATATCTGACCAGGAGATAAGCAGGAAAGGGATGTGTATGCATTTACACTACCATCCTACTGTTGAAATTCAGGGTGAAATTAAATTGGAAATCTTTGCTAAACCACTAAAAACAACTATTCCATCACTATTTTACCAGCCTCAGCAGTCATAGCAAAAACAACTGTTACACACATTACCCAATATGTTAATAGCATCTGTCTTCCATCTTTATAGATATTTACAAGGCTTATTTTTTGTTGGATAAATGAACAGTGTAAATGGGTACCCAGTGAAACTCAAATCACTACACTTTAAAAAACTAGAAAACTAGTTGGTACATTCTGTTTGCTCCAGGAAGTATCTAACTCCTCCTGCTATGCTTTATTTTTACAGGAATCAGTTTTTTTCTGAAAACGGAGCATTACTGCCATATCTGCTAAATCCTCGCTTACCAGCCTTGATAGAGTTTAGTATCATTTATGTAAACTTTGTGGAGGAAGATTTATATTCCATTCTGCAGCTCATCTGAACAACATTGAAACAGTGGGAACTCTTTCCCACTGTTTCAACGTTGTTCAGATGAGCGCTACATTCTTTAGTTCCACCATTTCAGTCCTATATGCTTAGAACACTCCATGCTACTTCCACAGTTGAATCACCCTCGCCCCCCCCTCACATATTGCAAATCTGAGAAAGAAAGAAGTTTGACTCAAACAACTTTTTCTGAAGAACTGCTACTTTGTGAGATAGACTCCTATGTGTCTTCTTCCCTCAAGGGTCAATCATTATCAACTCTCCTTATCGACATCTCCACTTTCTCTTCCATTCATATCACACACCTCATTTGTCATTTCAACTGTAACCCTCTATTTTGAGTGGCTCTCAAGCCTTGTATTTTCTCACATGTTAATTGAAATTGATGATTTTTTTTCTCTTCCAGTGATGATGTGAGGAAATGTGAACAGTACCTATATAATGTCAAAGGAAGTGCTATTTACAAATGTTCTGTGATTCTTGGGGATATTAAAGTAAGATTTTGTTTTTCATTTTTCTTATGCTTTTATTTCATTTGTCATTTGTTGAACATAGTCATTCCTTGGGGGAAGACATTAGTCTTCAATTTGCTATCATTACTACATTTAAAGTCAAATTCTGTTGAATACTCATTTTCACTTTGCACTTTTTTTCCAGTGAAAAACACAATGATTTTGAAATTCTTGCAAAAATCAAATAATTGTCAGATTTTAATGAAACTTTCAGGATTTATTCACAAAAGAATGAAATGAAGTTTTAAATATGTGTTTAGAAAATTTTATTTTTACTTATGTTACCCCTAACTTATTAATTTCAAAAAATTAAATTTTCTTTTCCAGATTTTTTTTATCAGTTAAAAGCAGGATTCCTTGGAGAATGTAAATTATCAATTTTTCTCTTTCAAACTACTGCTCATTTCCTGAAAATATGCTCCAAAACATAAAACAAAAATGCAATAAAACTGACATTATTTAATTAGAAAAGCTTTTAATTTCTTTTATAAATAAGATTTATTAAGGACGCTATTTTTTTTCGATGAATAATGAATTTTTACAGGAATTGTTTTCATTTTTTAAAAATTTTAGTTATAATTTATCAATTAAAATTCTGCATCAATTTTTTTCCCAGTTAGATTATATTATTTAGTAGAGGTGCCTAAAAAAAGAGTGACACAGAGATCTGAAAGTACATCAGAATAGATGCCTTCTGAAAACAAAGCAAAGTATTAAGAGATAGTGAAATTTCATTAGAAACAAAGAATTAAGTACTATGCCATATCTACCTTCCAGTATGGCAGTGAATGCCGGACAATTTCCTTTCAGATGAAGAAGAGACTTGAAGCAACAAAGTTGTGATTCTATAATGAATACTCTGTAGACAGAACATGTGAGAAATAAGAAAGTTCTAAAGTAAATGAGAAATAGGATATTTATACTTAAAAGCAGAAACAAATGGAAGACATTATGAGGAAAGCGGGATTAGAAAATTTATAATTCTCAGGACTATCGGAACAAAGGATAAATAGAGGAAACAGAATAATCTAATAAAAAGTTTGTGTGAATGGATGTTGTAATGAATAGACAAGGCTGAATATCAACTTTAGAAACTTTATTCTGCTAAACTAATTGTTAGTTGTTAAACAATCTTTATACAGGATGATTAGTATTTGAAATGTGTAAGATGTGTTAGGTTCATTATTTTCTTTCCTGGTTATTATTTTACTCATACGGGAGAAAACCCTTTAGGTGCCTGGGAATCTTGTGGATCCTTTGCAGTGGTTCAACTTTGTCAGGATCTTCTGGATTTTCTTTCTCTGGTTTGGAGGAGGTCTCAAAGCTGTTGTTTTTCTGAGATTCAATGTCAGAGGATCTCACCTTATTACGTTTCAGCTTTCTCTGCTGATAGTTTAGTTCACCCTCAGTCTTAGTATTATCAGTGGTAGGATGGACCTGTCTTTGTGACATTGATCACTCATTTGCACTTGATTTATACCACAATGATCTCGGGCTAGAAGATTGTAATTAATCCCTGGAGTTGTTAGTGAGAGTGTCAGGAGCTACCATTCTATGCTCTTAGTTTACCACTCACTTCCCATGTTATGAGGTCTCTAAGAGAAACTGTATCTTGCCTTCTATCAGGGTAGCGTATTAAGCCATATTGAGGAGTAGCTTCTATCAGTTACACTTTCTATCTGTTTGTGGTTCTTGTTTATTCTGGCATATGTGGCATTTTGATAGCACTGTCCCTGGCTGTAACATCCATAATGGTTTCAACTACAGAAGTGTCCATAGAACATCTTTATGGGAATTAAATCTTTTGGGTGGAGTGGCATTCATTGCCATGCATAGTGATCTCATGGTGTGTAAGGTAGTCAGTATTAGAAGTTTCCATAGATCATCTTTATAGGAATGAAAAGTATCTTAAACTATGGTCAGTCTGGGGTTTACAGATTGTTGAGATGTTGTGAGTTTCTCGCGTGTCGGTGTATGAATCAAGACAAACACAGTTGTAGAGGAAAATACTGGTATATTTGTAAAAGCAATTAACAATAGAGTGATTAGTAGAACGAAGGTTGGTTAGTATGAAACAATATCCAAAGTCTATAGTCCAACGGTATGTAACGGGTAAGCTTATCTGGACTGCTGACGCTCTCCCGTCCTCTCTCTAGAGCTGACTTATATAAGAGGGACCAGTCCATTTCTAGTTAGAAGGTGGTTGCGCCCCAACACAAATGTTGCTTCAGAGGATTCTAACACACTGCTCTCTACAACCATCAATTTATTTGATGAGTTGAGTGATGTCTACTGCCTACTTACAGATGAGGAAAAGAATAATATTTTTAAGCAGCTTCTAGAGAAAATCATGAGTTTGATAACTGACTGGGCAGCAGTCATGCAGTGTTACAAGAAATTTGGTTCTTACTGATCATCTACCTGACACTCACATGCATTTTCTTTATTGCAATGCTCATTTTTTTACTAGGCTTATCTAGTTCTTGTGAACCTGCACTAAAAGACATAAGAGAAAAGTATGTACAGTTCTGGCAGTTCTCTTGGAAGGGATTCTTCAACCCAATTTAAAAATTGAACTTCATCTTCAGAATCAGCTACAGGAAGGCCAATTCGAACCACTGCATTTGGTGGTGAATTATTTGAGGAAGGTAATGCATCTCTTTGTGTTTGTCTCAAGGACCTCAAAGTTCCTTATTGTCACTAAGCATAAGTTGCATGACTTTTTGGAAGAGATGTGGATCAGGAGACAAGAGCTGCCTTGAAGAGCTGCCCTCTAACAAATCTGTCAGGTGAGCATGCCTTTGGGGATGTAGATTTTACTATGCAAAAAAAACGACATGTGTCGCTACACAATTGATCAACCTTTGGCTCAAAGAAATATCATCAACTGAGCAGCAATTCATTCTTAACATCTCAAGGAAACATGCAAAACATCTGTGACAAAGACACATGCAACAAGAAGTCATTGTGAAACCCTGTATCCAAGAAATAATTACAGCAAATGAAAGGCAAAAGAAGGAAAAAGACTATCAAGCTGCTTCTGAGAAACAGAGAATCATCAACTCTGTTATCAAGCATGGTGGTCCTGTGAATTCTGTTAAAGAGATACAACTGGTTTCAGGAATTGGCTGGGAAGACCAACTGAGATATCTCAAGGTTGTCTTAGATATCAAAATCAACACCAGTTGAAATAAAGTTCATCTGAAAGCTGCTCTCTGTGATTACTTGACAATAATAAAACCAGTTGATTCATCTCCCTCTCTAAAGCCACAAAAAAAGGAAGAAAAATCACTCAGTGAATCTGCCGAGCATTCAAATAACCCCAGCAGTTGTGATGAAGAACCATCTCAAATTATTTTCACATATAAGTGCCAAGGACAATGAGTTGCTGTATACTATTATACCAACTTTTATATTAGTCAAGTCATTGATGTTATATCTCCATCCAGTGCTGTAATAAAATTTTTAGCTCCAACCAAAGGTAGAAATGATTATTTTCTATGGCTTTTGTCAGATGATATTGCACCGGTGGCATCAACATTTTTTTATAGATTGGACTTTGATGTAATGCCAATTTCAAATGATGGTAGGAATTGGAATGTTCTGGAACCATGTGTACTATAGCAAAAGCCTATAAAAAATTTCTCGCTGTAAATCACTAAAGAGGGAGAGGAGGAACTGCAGGAGGACCCTTAAATCTGCCGAGAAAATATGTTCTGTCAATTGAGATAAAAATATTTTTTGCTCTAATTTTTGAAGTTTAAAGCTTTACAATAAAAATTTGCTTGAAAAAAAAAAAACAACTTATGATTTCTTTTTGTATAACAAATTTCTAAATTTTGTTGTCTGTCATTTAAATATTAAAATGTATCTATGACAACAAGTTTTGATATTACAGAGAAGACAAGTATTTTTTTTAATTTCTCATCCAAAAACTAGTAAAGTTGCAAAGTTCCAAGTTTGTACCTTCAATGGATATTTTTTTAGAGTAAGTTTAGTGACGTATACTTTTGACTCTTTTTTTTCTTTATCCTTTTTTGCCCTATTATCAAATTGTGTTTCCATCTGTTTTTACATTGTCCAAATATGTGTTTTTTTATTGATCTACTATTAAAAGTTTAGCTTGATCTCTAATGTGTTATGAATCATATTAAGAAGTTTCAATGCATTATCTGCTGAAATGAAACTTATATGAACAGTCAAAGTTACCCTTCCATGTCATTTTTGCACTCTTTTCAAGGGGGAGGGGTGATGGGATTTTGCCTATTGTTTAAGCTGGTTTGATCAAACAATTATTGCTTCTATTAGTATTAATATTCATTTACCAGAAGATGACATTACATTTGTAAGGATTTTTCACTTGTTTGAAGCCTGCATTTTCAGTTAGACACTGTTCAAAATTGGCATCTAGACCTGTTATGATGTTAATTTGGGGTTAATAAAGACAAACGCCAAATAACATGTAACAATAAAAAGGGGTTTATTCGGTTGGTAAGTTGGTACAGATTATCGCCTGAGTAGTCTATAACTAACTCAGCCTAGAACTTCTCCGACACTGTCTTTTGACATGCCACTATTTAACGTCCTTGTTTGTAGACGAGTTCATCTTCAAGAGGGGTGGTAGGTTCCTACACAACACCTCCCCCTTGAGATTAATTCCGGAGGAATTAATATATTTTCCTTTTGGGATCTGGACTTAAACGTTCCACCCTCGTTCTTTTTCTTTTGCTTGTCCTTCTTTGAACAACTGTTTCAGGCAATGGTGGAGTCGGTATATCAAATAAATCATATAATACCTCCATTGGTTCTTCCTTTTCTTCACTTATTTCTTCGATGATTCTTTTCCTTAATTGGTTCAAATGTCTTTTGTGCATTCATTTTTGACTTAGATAGGCATCCGATAAATCCAATTTAGCGAATATTTTTCCTCCACTTAAACTTGCAAAAATGTCTTCTGGTGAAAGGCAAAGGATATGTGTGGT